CTGCAATAGAATACAAAGAATACAAGTCCTTTCATCAGCTTGCTTCTGTGTTTTGAGAACATCGCTGCTTTAAAACTGACAGGATTTTAGTGTGGCGTGGAAATGTGTTTTGCTTTGCGTTGCTTTTTTAAAAGAGTATAATTTCACTTTAAAGGATTTTCCTCTAAGTGCTCAGAAATTGTAACTGGTAACACGCTTATCTTACTAGCCAGCTTAAAGCTGGATTTGCCAGAAGGCTTTGACCGAAAACTTGTGTTAAAAGGCAATTGTTTCTTTAACTTCTTCTAAGTGGTCAGATCCTGGTTAAAGTTCACAGGCTGGGAGACTTTCTTTTCCCCTTTCCATCTTAGGGATCCAGCTCCCCTTGCAGCTGGCCATAAATGAGGACCAGGCTTTTCCACTCCGTGCTTTCACAAGGTATCGTTAGGTCAGCAAAGCCATCAATTAGACTGTCTGAAGTTTTATCACCAGCACTGCAGCAATAAGTGCCGGCCTAGAAAGACTTCTGCTCTTCTGCAACTCCTGCTAGTTGGAGCCTGTAAAGGCAAGGGTCGTTTGGAGGTCAGTGCCAGCTGGGGGCCACCTCTGTGTCTGAGCGGGGACACTCCGTGCAAGGTGACCGCCCGCCTGCCCTAAACTCAGGCACCTTTCAACTCGTTAGAAACCCCCAGTCACAGGTACATGTGGTTAATATTAGGCCCAAAATAACCTTTTTTAATCTCAAACTGGGGTGGTTGCTGAGGCTTTTGAGCACTGGTAAAGGCAGTTAGTTGGCTGTGGAGCCTGGATTTAATTTTGCTGGTAATCAAAAAATAAGTGCTTGCATATTTCTTATTAGTTTAATGCACAGCAACCCACATCAGCACAAGCTAAGCTAAATTAATTTCCCTAAAATAATTTTAAAACCTGCCCTTTCACGAAATATCTTTCAAAACAGGGCAATTTTCAATCACTCAGGAGCCACACTTGTTTTTGTCGCTCCTCTTTGTGTTTGAAACAATTTGGAGCCTTAGCACAGGTTTTGTGTGCTTTTTCACAGCTCAGGCTTTCGGCTGGTGACCCTTAAGGAGTGCTAATGAAGTCGAATACTAGTGTTTAATCCTCTTCAGAAATACTAACATGCCCATCATCCAAAAGAGCCTCCAATAATTGCCATTGGGCCCGATCCAATGCCTCGTGAAGTCTTTCAGTCAGTTAACTGAAAACTAAGTTCATTTGCTCATTTAGTAAATTGCTAGCCTTCATATAGCATCAACTCTGCAAGGCCTTTTGTCGTGCTTCCCTCACTCCCTCACACCCCTTGGTTAAATTCCTCCGCAGATAATAAAGGACAGTGGTACACCTTTGATTGCACCTTCTGTAATCACAGTCATGGAAATTTCACTAGACAGAAGCATGAACGCTACAAGTAACACTAAAGGGCTCTTTTACATCTCTCTGTTTACATCCAAAAGACATTCTTTATTCTTTAAGAAAAGTATCATTCAGTTGTCAGAAATGTCACCCTGGCTCAGAATTAGTCATGACTTCAGGTATTAAAATAAAAACCTCAGACACAGCCAATGTACTTATTTATTCCCTTCTGACTGAGGCATCTCCTGCCCCAGCGCTGTGATTTCGAGGCATGTTTCCGTTCTCAAAGAAAAAGGTCCATGATAGGACTTATTTGCTGAGCTACTTTCCAGTAATGTTGCCACCCTGACCAAATGGAGGCTGACCTGAACCTCCTCCATCCAGCATGCCTTTTATCAGCTAAAGTTAAGGCCAATAGAGATTAACAGGAAAGCCTGATAAGACTGTTTTCTCTTCTCCCATGAGCTTCTAATGGTGTATACAGATGGCAAGGTTTTAAAGAATGGAATGAACACTTATTTAGGCCTGTAAAAAATCACAGAAACACCCCCCCACACACGCACACACTTACCATCTTACTAACCCCTTTTCTTCAATCAGGCCACTCTTCAGGGAAACCAAATTGCTTTTTCGTTTTTTTTATTTAAACCCCAACCACTTTTATTATTTACATCTGGTGGTCCCCTTATTTATATCCCTCTCCACTTCCCTGCACACACCCCCCTGCTCCCAGGGCTGCGAAGCATTATGGGCCTTGGCTCTCAGCAGGAGAACTCCACACTGTCTTCAAACAAATAATTAAGGGGAAGGTTAAAGGTTCACCTAGAGGTCATATCTTTGGATACTCCTCAGAAAGTTTACATTAGTAAGAAATGGGTGCCCTCTGAAGTGTTCTTTCAATGGGCTTGCACAACAAGACAGAGCATGAAGAAAATTCTACCTTCTGAAGGGTTTCAGGTGACATCTCCTTCACCTCTGACCATGGAGATTTGGATACTGGGCTCCAGCCTTACATATTCAACAGTTACCACAGAGTAAGCCTTTGGAATGGGTGTTGAAAACCCAATCCTGCCCGGCCATTCACTCCCAGAAGAACCTGGCCTTATTTTATCCTGGTGATGTGAGTAAAGCCAGCCTTCCACTGCAAACTCTACCCAGAGGCAGCTCACTAGTTGTTTGGGAAATGGGAGTTCAAGCTCTAATAGTGAGTCCCCTGATCTTTGTGTGCTTGGGTTTGATTTCTAATTACATTATTTCTCCAGTTTTCTTTTGCACATCTGCATAACAGCAGGAGCAAGTGATGTCCTCTAGACCAGCAACACCTTTGTCGGGAGAGAAGACACACTGATGTATAATTAGAAAGATATAAGAGCACAGAGGCTTTAAGCATCCAGGCAATTTTGAAATTCCATTTCTATAGCTCCTCTGAAAAATCTTGTCCATAAATGGCATCAGTTATACCCACCAGTGGGTATGTCCAAAAAATGACACATGAAATTATTTATATTTGAAAGATTGCAGGTGCAGAACAGACATGCATCTTAGGTGAAGCTAAAAATCAAATCCTAGTTTCATTAGTAGTGGCTATATCAGGTAATGCATCAGCACAATTGGTAGACAAGGTCACAGAATGCAGTGTTTGTGCATTTTTATTTATTCTTTATATTGCCCCACAAATATGCACAGTCTATAACAGAGACGTAGAAACCACAGTTCCCACCCTAGCCTTTACATTTTTTGAGGGCTTTTTTTGAATCCCCCGGGGAGCAATATCCAAGGCCAAAGTAAAGCAAAATACAGCCTTTTGCACAACACTTCAGTTTGCGTGTTGCAGAAACACTCTGATGTTATTTTGGCACAAATGTCTTCCAAAGGCACCAAGAGACAGGTGAAAAAAGAGAACACCAATGCCACTATTTTCAGCATTGTTTGCAAGCCTATAACAGAAGAATTCACAGCTCTGCTCCTGACACTAATTGCTTACCTTGTTCATACCCTTCACCCAGAGGCCAAAGATTGAATGGCCCAAGAAGATGAGTAAAATCTATCAAAAAGACATGGATTTCTTTGTTACCCTTCTGTTAATAGTAATTCCTACTAATCGTATGATAGCAGCCCTTAAAGGATCCAATGAAGCTCAGTCTTACTCCACCCCATGCTGCACAAGCACACTGTCCAAGAGAACTCAGAGTCTGAACAGATTTCCAGGCAAAGCCTGGGGGAGAGGAGAGACGCCTTCTCCCTGTTTGCAGAGGGGAACAGAGACAGAAGGAGATTAAGTGACAAGGCCAAAGTCATACAAGAGATCTTTGGCAGAGCCACACACCCAACATAGATTTCCTCAGTCCTCTTTCAGCGCTCTTACAATCTGCTATCCATATGCTATCTTTCCTTTGTTCCCCCAGCTCAGCAGTCAGGCATACTGGCAGGGGACTGCAAAGAGAGCTCACATTGCCACTATTTGTGCCTTACCTGCTGTGTAGATAAAGAGGGGTCATCAGCCTCCAGGGTGGTGAGGCAATACCTTCACAAACTCTACATTCATATGGTACTTGGTCCTCATTCCAGAATGATAAATGAGGTGTGTAATGTTGAGAAATATATGTCATTCACATAGTAGGTTCAATGAAAATCTCACTTCCAGTATTTTGCAAATGACAGATTACCAACCTTACTTATTCAAACAATAGGCATTTTAATAGAAAAAAGTTTTTTTGCATCTTCTATTTTTGCTTTAATTGCTAGCTAAAGCAGCTACATATATATTTCCTATAGACAGAGCCTGTCTTTCTCTCACAAGTAGTTCTAGTAACTTCTGTGGGACAGTTTATGAAAGCACAATGAACAAGATCTAGCTCAAAATGTACAATATGGACTTTTAAAGGAAATATTTTCATTTTTATCTGCTTACAGCAAAAACCCAGCAGAGCAGTAAAGGTACACTAGTGCATATGCAGTGTATATGCATATGCATATGGTGATTTGGTAGCACTAGTCCTAATTGGTTTCTACCACTGATAATTAGCATGACAATATAATCTAAACTTATGCATTTAATCACATCATTTCAAATAAAGACTTGGTTTCTTTGTCCAAAACAAACATGTACTCTGTACTTTATAGGAAGCCCTTCTTTATAATATTTTATCTCAAGTCATATCAAATGACATTAAACTCACATTTACATAATATATTTTATTTTTATAATAAATAATGTTCAGACAAAATCACAGAAAGATATTTCTGCAAAGGGCAAAAGAAAAAAAATAGGAAATAGAGATCTCTTAATCTGCTGGTTCAAATCTGGCACACTCAAAAATAATTCTGTTGTTGTTTCTATTGTCTTTTTTAAACATACTGTACATGTAATTCAAAACACTTTGACCACTCCACAACCGAATCTGTATAAGATTAGTTCTTGAAATGAGCTGCTAGTGACTGTAGTGACTGGTACTCAGAGTTAGAAACATCTCTAGCTTTACTCTATGACTATCATGGAAAATTCACTTTAAGTATGTAGGATCACAACAGGTCTTGTTTCAGGAGGATGAAGTGCATGAATGCTTAGGAAACTATATGCCCAACTTGAGGTGTAATCTGAACTCAAGCAGAGAGAGATATTTAAGTCCAGTCACTTGTCTTTATGT